CTTTCGGTGGGAAATAAAGAGGGAAATTCTTTTTAAACATCAACAGTTTTATTATTCTGAACATTCGGAGAATCAGCAATTGCCTCAACCAGTTCTAATAAACTGATATTATTTAACTGTCCATAACACGGTGTCAACAGTTATATCTTTGAATTGGTGGGTTATAGGAAGGGGGCTGGTCCAAACCGTTCGTGATCTGTCGGTCTCCTCAGTGGCGTACTCCTCACCACGCACATGATCCCACAACTGGGATGTCTGGCCCAGTCACCCTCCAGAGGCAGGTGATTGAATGCGGAGTCCAGCCGGACCACCTTCTTCCAACATCCCTGCCCTCTCAGATACACCACCACTGTCCATTCTAGTAGATCCGACGGGACTTCCTTTAACTGGATATGGCCAGGATTAGGCAGTAGGCCTCCCGTCTGTAAATTAGGGAAGTCTTCCAGCAGATATTTCATTCTTTCATATTCAGCTTCTTTTCGCATCTCTCATGTCTTCTTTCTCCCTTCCTCTTATCCTGACCCTGCAATTCTGAATTCTCTCCTTCCCTTCGTCTTCTATATCTTCCTCCCAAACTGGTAAGATTAACTCCTCCCGCTTTTCTCCCTCTTTATCTTCTACTAAACAGACCTCAGTCTTTTCCTTTACCACTTCTTCTACATTTGCCCCTTCCTCTAATGTCTCTCCCCCTTTTTCTATTTCATCCCGCAGAGGCATCTTTTGTGAAGGAGACGGCTCGCTCTCCATTTTTTCCTTTCTATCTCTCTTTCACAGGGATAACTTTTTATTGACTGATAGATTGATGGAGGGATTTTGCAATCCTCTGCATTCCACTCCGAGATAGAAAGTTCCAGTGTGGTCCCCACAGGGTTCCTCTAATATGTGTGGGACATTTTATTGATGGGTTATTGTGTTTCAGGTTCTTACTCAGAGCTAATTTTTGTTCCAATTGAGTAAGAAGAATACACAGTTGGCCTTGACCTAACCTCATGCGCATCACCCCATTCCACATCTCTCCCCTCTATCCCAGCACCCACTGAGACACCCCACCCCCATGTAAGTGTTCAACACTTACCCTGATCCATGCCAGAAAACAAACCATGGTAGAACATGATTTCAACCATGGATGGCCAGAGAAACAGTTGCCACCAAACACTACCAGTCAGAAAGCCTCAGAGGTCCTTCTGTTGGTGGCCAAGGTAAGTGAGAGGTCCAGCTCAGGACCCTGTTGTCATGGTGTAGTGTTTCCCCTTTATTATGTCAATGGTTCATGTTTGTTATATTAATTGTTCATGCATATTTATCATGCTGAGAGGGGAGCAGAGAGAGAGAGAGAGAGGCAGGCAGGCAGGCAGGAAAAAAAGGAGAGTGAGAGAGTGGAGACGGGGATAGAGTGTGGAGTTTGGGGAAATCTGAGAGTTGATTAGAGTTAGGAGGGTATTATCAAATAGAAGATTGTTGTTAATAATAAATTTACCTATAGAAGATATTCATGAATCACTATCAATTTCTGTAATCAATAAATAAAAGTTTTATTTAAAAGACTTGCAGGCAGGAAAAAAAGGAGAGTGAGAGAGTGGAGACGGGGATAGAGTGTGGAGTTTGGGGAAATCTGAGAGTTGATTAGAGTTAGGAGGGTATTATCAAATAGAAGATTGTTGTTAATAATAAATTTACCTATAGAAGATATTCATGAATCACTATCAATTTCTGTAATCAATAAACAAAAGTTTTATTTAAAATACTTGAAAGTGCGGAACTGAATCTTCATCTTCCTGAAGTAATGGTGATTTAGTGATCATCTGGTGGCAGCAGGGTAAAAGAGGGGATTGTTTGCCTTCGAGTGCTCTAAGCCTGGGCAGTCAAGCAAGGGGGCACGAGGATGAACGCCACACATGGCAAATATGTAAACATTCAGGACCCTGAAATCCAGAACAGCATCTGCCACTTTTTAAATTGTATACAAGAGCTATCACAAGAGCCAGGCCTGGTCACGGAGATGGCCTTGCTGCTGTGTTTAGTAGCAAAACATCCTGACAATTAGAAAGTGTGGTTTGGCTACAGATACAAAGTCGCCTGCAGATGATCATCATTCACACAACTGGTAAACGCATGCTATTCCTTTTATCTTGTTTGCACCCATAATGCCCACTCCCTTGAAAGTGACTCCTGTCTCAATCCATCAATCCAAATTCTGTGGCATGTCTCAGGCATGCCATAGAATGGTCCCCGGTTGGGAACTCCTGGCTAATTTGAAAACTTTTTGGTTTGGGGTGTTTTTTGTTTGTTTTTTGTTTTGCACATAGGATGAAATGTAAGCAAAATGTAAAAAGTAGTGTTGTTTTCCCCTCCCCAACACTCACCAGTCGATTCACCTCTAGAATTTCGTATGCTCTACATTTTGGTGCACAGATACAAAGCCCCCCCGCCTTACCTTAGCTATGGCCCTGTCAATCACTACAGTGGTGCCTCGCTAGACAGTTACCCCGCATGACAGTTTTTTCCCTAGACATTGGCTTTTTGCGATCGCTATAGCGATTCGCAAAACAGTGATTCCTATGGGGGAATTTCGCTGGACAATGTTTGGTCCCTGCTTCGCAAACAGATTTTCGTTAGACGACGATTTTGACAGCTCCCTCCACGCTTGCAAACAGGTGTTTTCAGGACCTAAGCTTTGCAAGACAGCGATTTAAACAGCTGATCAGCGGTTCACAAAGTGGCTTTCCTATGGCCGATCTTCGCTAGACAACGACGATTCTTCCCCATTGGAACGCATTAAACAGGTTTCAATGCATTCCAAAGGGGAAATGCTTTTCACTAGACAATGGTTTCGCTAAACAGCAATTTCAGTGGAACAGATTATCATCATCTACCAAGGCACCACTGTACTCCTGAAGGCTTTGAGGAGTGGCGATTGCGTCCCTCACCTTTTTAGCCCAGTGAAGAAAAGTAAATTTAGGAGTGGCAGGCGATGAGGAAGTTTGATGGGACTTGGGAGCTGGAAAATGGCCTTGGGGTACACGCATCCCTGTATTTTGCTTGCCACTGGCTTCAAGAAAGAGGTTCCCACTACACAAGTGTTCATCTGTTCATTTATGCTTCGAGAGGCCAGCGACCATTCATGACCACCAGTGACATCTGTAGCTTCACGCTCCAAGGATTATTCCTGCACACAAGCTAGCACTGATGACCATCTCCATGCTGAACCATCAGCCTTTCTCCCAGGCTCTGCAGTTCCCTCTCCCACTGGAATATGGGGAGGGCTGGTAGAAGGCCCTGGATGAGTAGCCACTCAGGAATGACTGCTCTAAAGAACTGCAAACACCAGTTTGTCTATGGTACACACACTCCCTATCAGTGTGATTGCCGCTGAGATGGTGATTTTGCATGCCCCTGTCTCTGTACTACATAAGCATGGTGAGATTCACTCCTGAGTAAACATGCATACAATGACTTGGAAATTATATCCACCAGAAGTTTAGAGTTTCCTGACTTAGCAGACATTGATGAGTGATTTTATCATACAAAGTGTTTTAGTTTGTGTGGGAAAGAAAACAAACTGTGGGGTTAATGATACTAAGCTGATTTTTCCACATTTCTGTGTTGTTGCTGTTTTTTCTGCCTCATTGCTAACTAAAAGGAATAACTAAACTTCCATAGTAGTTTAATACCTTGAAATTCTAATTTATCAAAACTAGAGGTGGACTTCTAGCCACTTCTAGTTTTACTGTTGCCCATTTTCAGTAATTTCTAGGCACTTGCGCAGGTCCTGGAGAATCCCAAGGACAAAAATGCTTCCTTCCCCCGAGCTTGACAAGTTACCCACCTTGGCTTAGAAACATTATAAATAAAGATGTGTGTCAGATTGTCATCCTTAATCTCAATGATTCTCCCCACTCAACCTACCATGTTTCCCCGAAAATAAGACAGGGTCTTATATTAATTTTTGCTCCAAAAAACGCAGTAGGGCGTTCAGGGGATGTTTTATTTATTTTTTTTGTGGACAACAATCTGCATTTATTCAAATACAGTCATGTCATCTTCTTCTGGTTGCTGCACAAGGGTGGAGGGCAGGGTTTCACTTCACTGGGGCTTATTTTGGGGGGTAGGGCTTATATTACGAGCATCGTGAAAAATCATACTAGGTCTTATTTTCAGGTTAGGTCTTATTTTGGGGGAAACGGTAGAAATTGGGGATGGGGTGGGGAATTGAGCCTAGGACTTTCCACATCTAATGCCTTTTCACCACTGAACTATAGCAGTTCCCATATAGATAGAGGGAGCTTCCCAGATTTAAACAGACACAGTTAATACCACAGTGTTCTAGTCGCAAGTCAGCCTTGACCCCATGGAAGTGCCAGTGATCCTGAGGCAAGTGTGTCTTCCTTCTGCATTGACAGCATCTCTATCCTGCTCTTCCTCTGAAAAAGGCAAGACAGCACCATCCCTGTTCCATACACGTCTTGGTCAAGTCAGGATCTGAATCCAGGTCTTCTCCATCCATGTCTCTCCATTACAGCCTATTGGTTCAGAATCAGTCTGCAGCATTCTCCCCTCCTTCAAGCAGTCACTCGGATCAGCAAGCACTGAAAGGTCATTTCCTGAAAAATGTACAGAGAACAGAGCCGGCCCTTGTGTTAGTCAAAACAAGGCAGCAATCTTAGGTGACACAATCTAAGTTTTGCAGATGGTTCCACAGCAATAGTTTCCTGGTCGTTCCCTTCTGACAGGAGACAGAGCAGCATGCTCCTGCCCTCACCCTACCCTGCTGCCCGTAGGTGTGATGAACCAGAGCTGAAGGAAGTTCAGCTGCCAAAACAAACAGCTTCTGGATGTCTGTGGTAGCAAAATGCCTTGAGGAGGCACCGCCACAGCATGCCAGCATCAAAAGAGATGAAGAAAATGCCCAGTTCTTCCTTTCACTGGTAATGATCCCTGCCAAGCGAGATGTTCCAAGAAGTATATTGTTTTATTTCAGGAACCGTCTTACGAGGGGGAAAAAAGAAAAGAGGGAAAACAAAATGAAGGGGAATGGGTACTATCCGAGACACAAGACACACTTCAGAGAGGAGGGCAGTGTGCTGTTCTTCTAGTTAACAACATCGGAATCCGGCAGTGGACCCTTTGCGTCATGCCCAGCGGTTCTGTTGGAGAGGTGTTGGAAAAGATTGAAGTCTCTGCCCCAGCCAGAAAAAGCTCCTGTCTCAATCAAGAGTCCATCCGTTCCCCATCTTATCCTAGTTGCTCTTTGGGGCACTTCTGTTCTTCATCTCAGCCAGTTTGCTGGTCAAGAAGCTCCATCGGAAGGCCACTCCTTCAGCCTCTCGGAGGTCATCGTCCCGGCTGGTGTTGCTGGCTTCCTCGGCGGCTGTTTCTCCCGAGGCTTCGCCGTCGCCGCCACCCTCAGTCGTTCTCTCTCCGGTGTCACCCATGGCAGCCATCTTCTCCAGGGCTGGCATCTGCTGCCATTTGGTGGCAAACACATCCCAAAGGCCAGAGGCCTTCTTCTCCGAAGCAGATTCTTCCGCCGGTTTTGCTGCTAGAGGGCTGAAAGCAAGAGGGAAGAGCATTGAGGAGAGGATTGGCCCTAAAGAGATGCAGACTAAAACGTTGGGGTCCATATGGCATCCTGCCCCCAAAGTTCACACAAGTCAAGGTGCACACTATCCCAAACGCAGGCAATTCCTTTTAGCCTGCGAGAGGGGAAGTCACACACAAGAAACTTCCACACACATTTCTTAGCAGGAAAATATAGTAACCACCAAATTAAATCGCTCAGCATTTGCTGAGCTTTCATGATGCCTCAAACCTACTGCCCGAGGCGGTTACCTAATTCTGTCTAATGGCAGGGCTGGCCTTTGTGCTGAAGCTTGGCAGGGTCTTCTATATTGCCACTTGTTCTGAAGACATTCAGGGTAAAATATGGATTAAAAGAACCTCCCTTATCCTGAGTCAGGCCCCTAGCTCGGTATGGGTGACACCAAGGAGCAGAGGCTCTCCTTCACTGTTTCTCACCTACCACTAGCTGGAGATCCCAGAGACAATTTCTAGCACCTTCTTCATACAAAGCATATGCTCTGACATTTTGCTACAGCCCTTACTTGTAAGCAGAGTGAGGAAAGATACCTACAGTATATAAAGTCATTACTTACAATGACAGTCCCAAGCCCCCTAAGTAGGTTCTTAGGACTAACGTACTCTCAAACTGGAACAAACTTATAGCAATCCTGAAAGGGCTTTCAGGATACGTGAGGTATTTTAAGGAGTGGTTTTACCAGTTCCACAACCCCAATGAGTTGGGGGGGGGGATTCAGACTCAGACCCCCTGAGTCCTTAGTCCATCACACTACCCGCTACACCACCTGGGGTATCTAGTACTATATTTATATTTCTAAACTGTGGTCTTTACTTTCCTCTTTCTCAAAAAAAAAGCAGCTACTTTTTAGTCACCTTTAAAAAGATCTAAATGCTATACGCTGCTGGTCCATGATACAAACTGCTCAGTCCAAACATCCTCTAAGCATCTCGAAAAGAGCATGAGGTAAACAACATATATCTAAACCAAGTGATATTCTTCCTGCACCATGATGTGAGGCTATACTGTATATCCCAGGAACTTTTATAGTACATTTTTATAGTAAACTATAAAAGGTATTCTATAAAAGTAAACTATAATAGTAAACTATAATATATAGTAAACTATAAAAGTCATTAGAACAGTGGTATTATCCCTTACCAGGTTACAATCGTGCTATAATGTTGCCATGCCTTTGTTGCTGCAAATGTGAACTAATTACCATTAACTCATTATTTGTAACTATTACTTACTTTCAAGCGGTACCATAAACTATTTGCAATGCCTTCACATCGGAAGCTACACTACACTGAGTCAGGTTACCAGTCTAGCACTGACAGCACAAATAAGTGCTCCAGGGAGCGCTCCCACACCTGCCATTTTGACTTCCTGACCCCCAATTTTTGGCCTAAAAGGAGCCAGGTGTATCATTTCTTGTCCCCTCTCAGAATCCTTGGGGGTATGTGTTCCAAACTGAATGTAATTTCTCAGCTGCTGAATACAATAATATATAATAATAACACATAATGTCACATGCAATGTCCCATTTTGCCCCCTGAAAGCTTTGGGGACACAACTAACCATTTCTAGGCTAAATATTTTTCAGCCTGGAGGGGTCTAAATGGTGGAAGAGCAATTTTGGAGGGGCCCATGCCCTGGCCATCCATAAGCCAGCTTTCCAAAATTTCAGATACAGTTCTTTCTGAGACCTCTCTGTAGAGATGCCAGGCTGAAGTCATTCATGACTGAAGTCATTCTTGCCTCCCCATGAGAATATTTCAATAACTTTACTGGTTCCTCAGCAGAAGATTCCATACTTTTTTTTTGTAAATGGAATATATATTGTCTTCTGTCAAGACCAGAGTTTCTGCCAGAAATCCCAGAATCCCCTAGAATCATTTTAGTCCAAAAAGTAACTTTTTCAAGTTTTGTATACCTCGATAGGTTTTGGAATCTAGTTATGTGCCATGTAGGGCCAAATGAGAAACCTGGTGGGTTCATTTTTAATGAATGATTGTTCATTTCACGGCTTCCAGAATTGATGCAGATGGTTGCACATCTGTTCATTTCTAAGCTTACAACAGGATTTGCAAAACAAATGATGAGGAAAGCGTGGGTTTGGAAAAAGCACATAGAAAATGCCCACCTTTGAAAAATGGGTACAAATACACTTCAGAGAAAACAAGAAAACAGCCAAAACGTTAATGTTCTTGTTCCTCAAAACCCTGCCATGAATGTGAGTGTGGGGGACCTGAGGGCTTGTTGGTGGTTCTTCAGCTATGATTACCTGCTGTAGATGCGAGAGGTATTCGGGGACTGCTGTCCACATTGGAGCCTTGTAGCATAGTTATTAAAGTGCAGTACTGCAGCCAAAACTCTGCTTATGACCTGGGGGGGGGGGACAATGCGTAGCCTGCATAGTTAATCACAAACCTCCCAAAGAGTGCTTTAAGAGTTATGGGGCGGTATATAAGCAGCACTCTTTGCTTTTCTTTTTGCTATCTTGTTAAGAGGAGAAGACATGAAGCAAGCCTGCCATTTTTAGATGGAACCAGTTGTTCTGGCCCTTTGAGAGTTACTATTATCACCTGACCAACACAGCCTTGTGAACGTATTGGTCTTTCGAGAGACCAGTTGGAGTAGAAATGTGACAGAATGAGGGGAGGATTTCTCTTACTGATCAGCACAAGGTTCAGAAGTGAGTAGCTTATGTTCATCCTCCCGGGTGAACAAGGATGACATGGTCTTCCAGCCTTTGGCCCCAGCGCCCTGAACCTGCAGATCAAGATGGAAGAAGAGGGAGGAAGAGTGTCAGCAAGTGGCTTCTACTGGTAATGCTAAACTTCCATTAAAAACAAAAAGTCCGTCTCTGGTCCACTTGAATTGTGAGGATGTGAGAACACTGTGCAGGCAGTCTTCAGCCTAACAGTTGAGTGAAAAGGAGAGGCTTTTCCACCTTGTCTTCTTCTGGATGGGCTCAAAGTGCTGGGATATATGACAAGCCCCTGAGCTATGATTAGTTAGTCATGTCCCATTAAGTCAACACTGACTTACAGCAACTCTAATAAGGCTTTCAGGAGTGGTTTTACTAGTTCCCCAGTGAGTTTTCATGGCCACGTGGGGATTTGAACCCTGGTCTCCAGCAGCCTAGTCTAGCACTCTATCCACTACTAACTGTGTTAAGATCATCAAAAGAGGCCTTTCTCTCACATCCACCAACCTCAGAGGTCCGTCTGATGGGGACACAGGAGAGAGCCGGCTCAGTTGCTTCTCTCAGACTCTGGAACTCCCTGCCACTGGAGGCCAGGGTGGCCCCATCTTTTATGTCCTTCCACAAACAGACAAAGACCTCTCTCTTCAGGCAGGCTTCCCCTGAGTCACGATACATGAGGGACTTTTAGATGGATTTTAGACTGCATTGATTGGTTTTTTTCGTACTACAATACTTGAGTTTACCATCTATCAGAATGGAATTTGTTCCTTTTTAATATTTGCACATTTATTGCTTTAGCTTTAATATTGTCTTTTCACGATGTAAGCTGCCCCTTTGTACTCATTGTTCTTAGCTTTAAATATTGTCTTATTATGTAAGCCACCGTTGTATTATCATTCTTTTCAGCCGCCTTGGGTCCTTTTTTAATGAGAAAGGTGGAGTGAAAATATTTTAAATAAATAAATATGTGATGGCATCTAAATTGACTCTAAGATCTAACAGGCACAGTCCATTTCTATATGCAAAAATCTGGTCCTTTGCCATAAGTAGTAAAGGGTCTTAGACAAGCCCTAATTATGACCCATAGTTAGTAGCCTGCGTTTTGGTTAGCACATCGGACATGCAACACTCAGTAGGGAATCCACCAATATCAACTCCGGAAGTATCTCCAAAGCTTCAAAAGCAACTTCTGCTCTTTGTAAAAAGAAAAACTACAGTCCTTACCCGCCGCGCCAGCTGAGAAACAGGATTTGATCCTTCCTCTGTCAACAGTGTAGAGTCTGTGGTTTCCATCAGTTCAGGGCTCTCTCTCTGAAACAAGAACTCGGCTTCAGGCATCTTAAAGGAAGGCCACCTGTGGCTCTACTGGTGTTGTTGGACTCCAGATCCCATCATTCCTGATTATTAGCTGTTGTGGCTGAGGTGGATATGATCAGAGTCCAGCAATACATTGAGAACCACAGGTGGCTTATCCTCTAGTTGAGGCATGTTCTTCACCTCGCTCAAGAGAGAGGTGGCATTCTGTTGCCATACTAGTACATACAATTTTGGTGGAAAGTTGTCTACAGCTTCAGGGTTGCTTTTCTTAAAGGGGAGGGATGACAGCTCCACATATGCTTTACAGCAGTGATGGGTAGCTTTTTCTATCTTTGGACCAAATTCTAGTTTGTTAAGGGTCTCAAGAACACCAGGCAGGACAAGAGCAGAAAGGTTAAGGTCAAAGAAAAACAGGTGGCCACGTATAATTCAGAGATTTTGAGAGATACTCTCAATTAGAGTAGACTCTACAGGACTAAACAGACAAATGGTATAAGAGAACATCCCGTCTTCCTGGTTGGGATGCCTTCAGGACAGGCTGTAGGGACAGAGGTCCAGAGCTCCACTGGAGAGTGAGCAGGAAAGGCCCCGCCATGTAAGTGCCACACCCCTCCTATGCATCCCTACATTTTCCTTTGTTAGCTGAGTTTTGAATCAATCAGTTAGTTGACTCTCTTAAAATACTCTGATTAGCAAAAGGAGGGATGTGCCACTGGTTTATTGCACAGAACATTTTTAAGTGCTTTGTTCTTTTTCATAACGTAATTTATCAAAAACTGCAGTCGCCAAGTGGGAGTGCCATCTGGAGAGAGGCATTCTCTCTCTCTCTCTCTCTCTCTCTCTCTCTCTCTCTCTGTGTGTGTGTGTGTGTGTGTGTGAGAGAGAGAGAGAGAGAGAATGGAATTGTTTCTTCTAAGACAGCAAATACTACATGCAAATTTAATTCCAATTTAACCAGGTGTTAATCAACTAAGATTTCTTGACATGATGGACACTGCCTTCCTAACTTGCCCAACCGACTCCAGTATAGTGACCTCCAAATATGTGAGATGACAACTCCCAATCATGTTCAGTCGGTGTGACTGTGGCGGATGAGCATGTCTTAGTCCAAAAGATCTTGAGGACAACTCAGTTGGGACAAGCCTATCTAGACACAGACAGACAGACAGACAGAAAAAAGCTTCTTTCAAGAAGGGAAAGAAGTCCATATCATGCAACTATTCCATACTTCATGGGCAAAGAGGTGGGCCTAGTTGAGACTGTCTCTACCTCATCCTGGAGATCGTCCTCCTCTGGTTCTCCACCAAGAGTTTGCAGAACTTTGGCCTTGTAGACCTTCCAGAATCCCTGAGCCATCTTGGCAATGCCCCACTCAGCTTCTTGAGTCCAAAGGTCTTCTCCCAGAGAAAATAAGGTCGCTGTAAGCAAACCCCACTGAGATTGTGGGCAGTTTGGAAGCCCCAAGAAGTAGGATCCCCACCCTAGGTTCTGTGCCCTTTTCTCAGAAGGGTTACGTTCCAGTTGCCATCGCGCCTCTGTGTCCAGCTGCTCCTGAAACTGCGGGGAACCAGGCTCTCAGACAGATGCTGCTCTGTTCTGCAAATTCGCACCTGCCACTCGCTGCCACCTTCTCAGATCTGGTGTCTTCATTAAAATTTCAGAAGCTTCCAAAGTACATCTCAAAGAACAAAGAGGAATCAGATCCATGGCTGACCCAGAACACCAGTGGATTCCTTCAGTGAAAGCCACAGGAAATCATGCGAGCTTGTAGGTCTCTTTCCCCACATCTCCACAGCATTTCTCCAGAGATTAATTCAGTTGCTTCCTCCAGCGTTTCTGATTTTGGTTTTTTTGGGGGGGAGGACACTAATCCATGCTAGTAAATTTATCTTTTACATCTTCATCCTTGCAGGTGGCTCCTTTGGAGGACAGCCCCTTCATCTTTTGAAGAGGGATGGCTCGCACAGCTCCAGAATTTCCCATCCAACAACCTTCACACTCCAAGCAGACTCTTCTTGGCATCCTAAGGAAAACCTCACTCCCGCATGGCTAACCTCTTCCGTTACGCACCATTGTCTGCGCCCTGTAACTGATCTCTCACAAGAATGGCCTTCGGAACGTGGTAGCTCAGCAACAGGCTCAAAATAGCCCCTGGCAGCTAAATTATTTCGTAGGGACGATAGTCTCACAGGCCTCTGTCTTCTGCTTCACAGATCTAATTTCTGTCTTAGACCAAAAGGAAAAAAAAATTCTCCCCTCCAGTCCCCACCACATACAGACTGCTCTCTCTAACTACTCTGTGCCAATTGCAAGCAAGAGATGACGATTCCTTGTCTGCTCTCCAGACGAGGCTTGCTCCTCTGTTACACCCTGAGTCCTGTGCTGATTGTAGAAGAGGAGGAAAGGGAATCGTCTCCCTAGGGCCCACCTGGCTTCAGCAAAAGCACTCCTCTCCCCCCCCACCCCAGTTAATGACAGATGTCTGTCTGCCACTTTTACATGTCTGTGAATGTATTATTGATTTCCCGGCTTGCTGCAGTAATGTGATCGCAAATAGATAACTCACTGGCGGATGTCCCTTTGTCCCACACTGACATCCTAAATGCACAAATCCATATTTGTTAAGCTACACGCTGCCCACACAGCTTCGACATGTCCTTCCTCCCAGAGCTAAGCTGCATCGGGGATTGGAAGCGCCCAGGGCGGGAGGGTGAACCAAAGAGTTTACGCCCTTCAAAAATCAGACAAAGCAAAGCAAAAGCACCACTGCCACCCAAGGGGCTTAATTTATCATGTTAGGGACATGTCTCCCCTTAAAGTGACAAGAAGCACATACCCAGGTTCGGTTTCTTTTTTGAAATAAAGACCATATTGGCTTTTTTTTAAAAATGTGTTTATTGATAGCACTAGTGGAAATCATACAGATCATAGATTCTATGAAGCGCTGGGTCCCAGCCAACACGCCCTCCCCCCAAAAAGTGAGATAGCACATGTTTCCTAAAAGAGTCATAATCCCTGGAGACTTCCGAGAGCACAGTTTTACTTTTCTTGCAATGGGCACAAATATCTTTGTTTGGCTGTGTCACAGAAAAGGTGATGAGGCTTGATGGGACTGTATGCAGTACGTCATGTACAAGCCAAGTGCAGCCCACGATTGCAAAAAAAGAAGAAGTCTGCAATCGGCTACAGCCAATGACATGATTCCTGTTGTTCAGGCAGAGCTGCGCAACAGGATCTCAGCCAACTGTTTTCTTAAGGTTCTGTGAGGAAAGATTGTGTTTATGTTATATGCCTTTGACTTATGTTGACTCCATGAATGAGCAATCTCCAGAATTTTGTGTCCTCAACGGCTCTTGCAAACTCAGTGGAGAAGGGTACCTTGCTTTATTCTTTCAAACATTGCTCTGACTTATGTTGACCCCATGAATGAGCGATCTCCAGAATTTCATGTCCTCAACAGCTCTTGCAAACTCAGTGGAGCAGGGTACCTTACTTTATTCTTTCAAACATTCTGTTATGGTTCTGTACGTGTTCTGTATTCTCTATGCTTTGGTATTCATTTGTCATGAGTGCTTACTGATTTAATTGTTCAGTTTGTATAAGATGATAAAAATATTTTGCAGTTCTATTGTTTTAGTACTTTTATCTGATATTTGTTTGATTGCATTTTTTTAAATTATCACATAACTTTCAAATTTTCTTTGAGATTTTAAAAAAAACACACCACAAGACGTATAGAATGCCGTGCTGCAATACAGCCCAGAGATCTATAGCAATCCTGATGAGTCCCTCCGGAACCCACAGTTCCTTAAAAGCAAAAACATTTTTCCCCCTGACACTTCAAAGCTCTTTACCTTTCCTTGGAATTCCACTTTTAAGGCATCTAAGATCAAAGTCAATGGAATGTAATTCCATCAGGAGATTTTCGTTGCCGCTCGCCACCGATTAATGTCTATTCCCTGTAAAAGGATGACTCTTTGACCCATGTAACTGTTGTTTCTGCTGTTCAGCTAATCCTCCATGGAGGAAATATAAACCTCCAAGGCCTGGTCATCAAAAGATCTCTTAGGGCTCTTTGCAAGCCAAGGGTGGTAAGCCCAGTGTTCTGGCCAGGTTTCAATTCAGGTCATTAGATTCTGCTGACCTAAATTTCCCCTGCTGTTTGAATTGGATACGGTATTCATTGTCCTCTGCCATACAATAGTTACTGTATATAGGCCTAATTAGAATAGCAGATTTATGGATTCTCTAGAAAGGATTTCAGAATGGTGTAGGCAGGAAAGGTGAAATAAGCACGGGAAACTATGAGTGGTTTTTCACATTTAGAAGGAATTATCTTTAAAAGCACGTGGGATATTAAAACTAATAAGAATTATTCTTTAGACAAGTCCATAACAAGGCCCCAGTAATTTCATAGAATCATAGAATAGTGGAGTTGGAAGGGGCCCGTAAAGCCATCAAGTCCAACCTCCTGCTGAAGGAAGGGTTTGTCTTGATATGTAACAGCATCTGGCTGCCTGTAATTTGAGCCCATTATTACATGTCTCAGTCTGGGATGACTGAGGACAGATCCTGCCCTTCCTCTGTATGACTGCCTTCCAAATATTTGAAAAGTGTTATCCTTTCTCCCTTCGGTCTTCTTTTCTCAAGGCTAAATATGCCCAGTTCTTTCAGTCTTTCCTCTTGGGGACTGGTTTCCAGTCCCCTGATCATCCTTGTTGCCCTCCTTTGAACTTGTTCCAGTTTGTCGGCAATGTTCTTGAAGTGTAGTCTATAGAACTGGGGACACCATTCAAGATGAGGTCTAACCTGTGCCAAATAGAGGGAAACTTCATAGGATTTGAAGACTATACTTCTGTTAATGCAGCCAAAAATAGCATTTGCCCCTTTTGCAGTCACATCGCACTGTTGGCTCGTATTCAGCTTGTGATCTACAATTCCAAGATCTCCTTGCTCATTACTGAGCCAAGTATCCCCTGTCTTGTAAACGTGTCTTTGTTTCTTTTCTAGGTGTAAGTTTGCATTTCCCCTTGTTAGATTTCATTCTGTTGTCTTCAGCCTAGTGCAAGCCTATCAGGATCTTTTTTAAAAATTGTGTCTACCAGGGCATCAGCTATTCCAACTTATTTTGTGTCACATGCAAATCTGATAACATTCCCTGCACCTTCCCATCCAAGTTTCTCCCTCATCTTTTTGTAGGAGAAAATTATCAGCAACACAAGCCAGAAAAGGCCATATTTAGCAGAATACCAGAATAATCAAAATCTCCCATTACTATGACAGTGTGTCTCTGAAATTCTTGCAATTTGTTTTTCAAAGTTTTCATCCACATCTTCTTGATGTTGGTAGTAGCCTCCAACTACCATGTCCCTTCATGGATTGCTGCCTTGTCATGGCGAAGGGGCTTGAGTAATTCAGAGAAGCTATGGGCTATGCCGTGCAGGGACACCCAAGACGGACAAGTCATAGTGGAGAGTTCTGACTAAACGTGATCCACCTGGAGCAGGAATTGGCAAGCCACTCCAGTATCTTTGCCAAGAAAACCCCATGAACAGAAACAAAAGGCTAAAAGATATGACGCTGGAAGATGAGCCCCTCAGGTTGGAAGGTGCCCAACATGCTACTGAGGAAGAGCGGAGGACCAAGACAATTAGCTCCAGAGCTAATGAAGTGGTTGGGCCAAAGCCAAAAGGACGCTCAACTGTGGACGTGACTGGAAGTGAAAGGAAAGTCCGATGCTGCAAAGAAAAATACTGCATAGGAACCTGGAATGTCAGATCTATGAACCTTGGGAAGCTGGAGGTAGTAAAACAGGAGATGGCAAGAATAAACATTGCCCCATGGACCAGAGCACGCCAGGCCCTCCTGTCTTCCACTGCCTCTCGGAGTTGGGTCAAATTCATGTTGGTTGCTTTGATGACACTCTCCAACCATCTTGTTCTCTGTCGTCCCCTTCTCCTCTTGCCTTCACACTTTTCGAACATCAGGGTCTTTTCCAGGGAGTCTTCTCTTCTCATGAGATGGCCAAAGTATTGGAACCTCAGCTTCAGGATCTGTCCTTCCAGTGAGCACTCAGGGTTGATTTCCTTTAGACTGGATAGGTTTGATCTCCTTGCAGTCCAGCGGACCCTCAAGATTCTCCTCCAGCACCACAATTCAAAAGCATAAATTCTTTGGCGATTAGCCCTCTTTATAGTCCAGCGCTCACTTCCATACATCGCTACTGGAAAAACCATAGCTTTGACTATGCGGACCTTTGTCAGCAAGGTACGTCTTTGCTTTTTAAGATCCTGTCTAGGTTTATCATCGCTTTTCTCCCAAGAAGCAGGTGTCTTTTAATTTCGTGGCTGCTGTCATCATCTGCATTGATCAGTGGCCATGAACTTGCTTTTTTTTTATGTTCAGCTTCAGACCATTTTTGCGCTCTCCTCTTTCACAGGGGAAGTGAGAGCTGCCTATAGAAATCAGTGGAGAAATAAAGGATTTTAGGCTACCTGTCAGCGCATCTGTTTAGACAATAGAGGTGTTAATTTTTTTTTCACTTAGCTCTTATTTTGTATTTTAAAGCTACCGGATTTTCAGTATTTTCAACATTTAAGATTCTTTTGCTAAGTTGCTATTGTCTGCTGTGTGCTGCTTCGCTAGGACTGTAGCTCACCTAGAAGGTGATTGATGATTGTCTTATGATGGCCCTACGATATAGTCCACTTTTTTAATATGTGAGAAAATCGATGTAGTTTTTCTGGATTTAGGTTTCCTACCCAAAATCTTTTTTATGGGGCAAATGTTTGGTTATTTTATTATATGGCAGAGTATTCTATGAATACCTGAAACAAGAACTTGTGCGGGTGATGAAGGGGAAATCCCCTGGGCTAGTTCTTTTACTATATGACTGGCTTTCATTAATCAGGCATGAAGAAGAGTCGTTTTATTTATAATTTCTATAAATTATGTTCTAGGCTGAAGAAGACTCATTTTATTTATAATTTCTATAAATTATGTTCTGGGCTTTCGACCCCCCCCCCCTTTGGGTGAGGGAGATGGCTTAAAATGATACGCTTGTCTTCCTAATTTCTATTATAAAAAGGCAAGTTTTTTTTAAAAAAAGCCACAGGGCGTCGCCGGGTGACGACGTCACAGGCGGGCGACGGAAGGGGCGCGCGCCCCTCCCTTTCCCTCCCGTCTCAACCGGAGCGAAGCCGGCATGGCTCCCAAGAGTTCCCGGCGGACGGGATCCCACAAGGCGCACTCTTTGGCCCGCCAATTGAAAACGAAACGGCGCCGCCGGGATCTGGATCAGATCCACCAGGATCTGCTCCCTGAGAACACGGCGAAGCTCCTGCGCCAAGACCCCGATCCGGACATGCCCGGGAGCGCGCAGCACTATTGCCTGCATTGCGCGTGCGTAAAGAAGGGCGGGATGCTGGGTGGGGGGGCGGCGGCGAAAGGGGCTCGGGGGTTACCTTGGAGACGCTTGTTGGGCTTAGTGCGCGTGCGCGGAAAGCGGGGGGCTTGATCCCTGGCTTCTTGGCTGGTAGAGATTAGGAGCCTCCTAGAGAGAAATGGGATTTCTTGCTCCCTGAGTGTAGATTAAGTCCCTCCAGATATTTGTTGGGCTGCAGTTTCTGCTTAGCCGTGGAGAAGGGCTTGGGGATGCGGGGTTGAAGCCCTGCCCTTTCTGGAAAGCCCCAATTGCCCAACCCAGGTTTAAGTGCATTGGCTTTATTCTCCCCACACCACTGGGGGAGGTCAGAGCTGCCTATAGAAATCAATGCAGAAATAAAGGATTTTAGGCTACCTGTCAGCGCATCTGTTTAGACAATAGAGGAGGTGATAAATATTTTTCACTTAGCTCTTATTTTGTATTTTTTTTTTAAGCTGCTGGATTTTCAGTAAAATATTTCAACATCTAAGTTTCTTTTGCTAAATTGCTATAGTCTGTTATGTTCGTGCTGCTCCAGTAGGACTGTAGCTAACCTAGAGGGTGATTGATGATTGTCTTTATGATGGCCCTGCAATATAGTCCACTCTATAGTGGCCTTGGCTGACGGATGGGCGGTTTATAAATCAAATAAATAAATAAATAAAAATAAAAGTGTATCTCCTTAAATCTGTCAGGTGCTCATTTCACGCTGAACACTCCTGCAGGATGAAGCCTTTGAACTGCTGAGTAACCAAGGTGTTTAACTTTATCTCTCTTTCTCCATCAACAGACGGTATTTTGTTGACTCAAAAAGCATGAAGGATCACTTCAGATCTAAAGTTCACAAAAAGAGGTACAGTTATTTTTTTCATCAATAATGAGATAAACCCTTCTTCTCTAGGGAATAAACTGTCTGAAATGGGTGTTCATGCCATAACAAGCAGCTGGTATATACTTCGGTCTTTACCTACATCAAAACCTAACCATCCAAACTTTGTGAAAAGCATTTTTTTTTAATCAGATAAATGAGCACGTAGTTGACCCATGGTCAAATTGAAATGTGGTGGTTGGATCCTGTCTTGCCTCTCATGTTTGTCTAAGGGCAGAAGACATTTCTACAGTCCTTTATCTGAAGATGTTCAGTGCCATATGGCCCCTCAATCAAGAAGTTATGTGGGTTTAGCAGAGAAGAGAAGAACAGTGTTGTGTTTTCTGGGTGAAAAGTTAAAAAACGGCAATTTGCCGTTTAATTTCAGTTCAATATAAATACAAATAAAATACATTGCATGTCATTTCTAGTCTGCAAAGGCTTTGTCTCCTACACTTATTTGACATGCGCTGCTTTCCTCCCACAATCTTGCAGATGATAGTCTGAAACTTGTAATAATTATTATTCAATTAGTTATTCAATTTATATTCCACGTTTCTCAAGAGGAAAGGCAGTTCACAATATTGAACTGTTGTTTAGGTTTTGCTGTCATACACATGCATTTTCACATGCACTTCAAGGAAAGGCAGTTCACAATATTGAACTGTTGATGTTCAGGTTTTGCTGTCATACACATGCATTTTCACATGCACTTCAAAACCTGAAGTTTTGAGTAAGGGAAATGTTGACCGCCCCATCCTATGCATATCTACTCAACGGTTCATTCACTTCAGTAGCACTTACGTCATTCATGGGACCATGAGTGATAACATCTGTTTTTGATGCTGTATCAACATAAGCTAGCTGTTGTGTTGCTTAATGACAAATTTATGTTAGATTCTAGCTCCTTTCTCTATTTATGGGGTGGGAGTGAAGAAGCACTGAAGTGCTTATAGTGCTTTGCTATCTTCGAGAGGCAGAGAGTTGTTGGTGCCCAGGCTACTTGTAGCTGTTTTGTGATTTGAGTTGGCACTTATAGCCCTTTATCATGTTGTACTTTCTTTGGTGAGCGATTTCCTTGTATCTGCAAAGCATTTAACATCTCCCTGACCTCTTTGTTATTTGACTTGGATATGAGTGGTATGACTTTTCTAGCAAATTTAGAGTTGGGTGATTTCCCTGCTGCTTGCAGTTATTTGTGGTTGGAAAACAGAGTCAAATGTATTTTATTGGCCATGGTGTAGAAGCAGCTTATTCCGGTTGCTGAAACATCTGAAGAGAAATAATAAAGAGAACACATCAATTTTACATTTAAACAAATTTGAAAATGGTTTTTGACATTTTATTGAATACTTATAAATGTCTTTAGACATGGCCTAATAACATAACCTATTTCCCATCAGGGATGAGTAGAAGTTGGCTCCTGTAGTAAATCTCAAAATGTTTTGCAGTAGATTGTGTGAATAGGGTTTATGATTCTCAGTTCTTCAAGACAAAATGGCCCCATCCTGCTGTCTTAAAGTACACTACAGAAATGAGAAAAACATGTGGGGTAACCGGGGGTAGGTTTTTGTGTGGGAACTCTTCCATTATTGACTTAGAATTCTTTAATCTTTTGCACCAGTTCCTATCTGGTGTATGTCAAGTTCTAATAAAAAATAAATCCCAGAAATTTGAGGTCTGCCAATCATTTTTATATTATTTAGATGGTTGGGCAGGATGGATATAAATTAAGTTACTGAATGCAATTAACTATTGTATCATGTTGTACTTTGCCTAAAGAACTGTACACAAAAGTGAATGTGCTTCTAATGAATTCTAACTTTTATTCTAAATTTGATTACTATTGTATCAGTTCCTTTTGCCTGCTTATTGTTCTGTTTGACTTGTATAATTCTGTTAATAATTACTCACCATCGGGTCAATTTTCCAGGGTTTTCTGGTATACTGAGTAGTGGTTTACCATTCCTTCTGTTGATGCACTAATAGGCTGGCTCTTCTCCCGAGATGCACAATAGGGAATCAAGCTCACAACTTCAGCACCAAACTCACTGTGTTATTTTGTTTCTAGTTAACTTTGTGAAATGGTGGCATTTCTAAAAATATGGGATTCTTTGCCAAAAAAAAGAAAGAAAAAAAGGGAACAATACAATATAAAACTGTCCATGCTGTGTCTTAATTGGGACTGCCATGCCTGAATGGTTAATTATTACACATTTGGCACAAAAGCAGAATAGAAGCAGGAGCACAAATTGTCTCCACCTAACTCTTACAGACGGGACGTGGTGGCATTGCAGGTTAAACTGCAGAGCCTCTGTGTTGCAGGTCAGAAGACCAGCAGTTGTAAGATCAAATCCACATGAAGGAGTGAGCTCCCGTCGCTTGTCCCAGCTCCTGCCAACCTAGCAGTTCGAAAGCATGGAAATGCGAGTAGATAAATAAGTACCACCTCGGTGGGAAAGCAACGGTGTTCCATGTCTAGCCATGCTGGCCACATGACCACAGAAATTGTCTTTGGACAAAATGCTGGCTCTACAGCTTGGAGACCAGGATGAGCACCACGCCCTAGAGTCAGAGATGACTGGATTAATGTCAAGGGGAACCTTTACCTTTAACTCTTACATTTTCTTATAGAAAATGTAAAGCCATCCAAAAGTAAATTAGATTGCAAGTCCCATCCATTAGCCAAGGGTGACTAAGAGGGATGATGTGGTTTGTAGTCTAATGATTAGAGAATCAGGACTGAAACAGAAGCTATAGTGTGGGGTTAGAACTGTAAACATGTATATGTTGGAGAGGTATGAGCCAGGCAGTCTTTCATGTTTGTGAAATCAGAGGAATTTTGTGCTTAAATCCTAAAGACCAATCACAAATCAGAGCAAGCTGATTTGTAATTTATGTGATGTGGAGAAAGCTCCCAATGTGCACTGGGACACTTGACCAAACTAAAAACGTCACAGCTGGAGTAGACCACTAAAGTTTGCAAACTCTTTTGATATGCTTCTGTTTTAGGCTGAAACAGCTAAGCGAGGAGCCGTACACCCAAGAGGAGGCTGAGAGAGCAGCTGGGATGGGGTCCTACATTCCTCCTAAGAAGATCGAGGTTCATACACAGCCCTTGGAGGAGATGGAGGAATCCAGCTGAGAGCAACGGGGCTTCTCTCTAGCTTGTTTGGACTTTCTGAAGACATCCAAGAAAACAGGGAGGACATTCTGGCATAATTGTTGGGGGGGGATGTAGGTCTCTCTTGCTCTCCCTGTCTTCAGACATCACTGTTTCAGGGTAGTAGAACTGAGGTATAAAACCAAGCAAAGGGCTTTCAGCAGAGAAGGGTGGTGTGCCTTTTGCTTCGAAAATAAAGGACGTTTTCACCCTGTCTTCGTTGGCAACAGAGTTCAGTGAAAGGTCTCAAACGGGATGAGCAAGACACCCCGCTGTTATAATGTCCTGGCTATATAACTGATTGCTTCCCTTGGCTCCCGTTGATAGGCTGTGGCTCTGGATTTTGAGGGATTTTCCTGTTAATGTGAGCTATTCCATTTCCTAAACGAGTCCTCTTAATAAATGAGCTGACAATCTGTTGCCAGACCCCTGGGCTGCCCGTTTTGCTGGTTTGATTGGAATGCGCTGAAGGACCTTTTCTGTGCCTGTGAGAAGAAGAATATCGGAAGCCCCAAAAGGTCCTGACCTCTAGTTCTGCATGAGTTGCTGGAGGAATGACGGTCTTGGCTCAGAGCTCCCCCCTTCATCCATTAAGCATACACTGAACATGCCAGAATAATCCATCTTTCCATACTTCAAGCTGTGGGGAACCTTTTGTCCTCTAGATGTTTGAGGCTTCACATCCAGGAAGTCCCCACCACCATGGGCCAGTGATCACTGATTATGGAAATTGCAATCCTAAACATCTAGCAGCATGGAAGTTCCCCTATCTCTGTTTACATCATTCTTACCATGTGAGTATGTCCTAGGTGGTTAAAAAGAAAATGATCCGAAGGAGGTCATTCTGACTGTTTTAAGCAATTCTGTCACTTGGGGCAAATGGAAAGTGAAAGATGTATTTTGGTTCAGAATTGTCAGTTCCAGTCTAGCAAGCCATGACTTAATAGCCCAGGTACAATGCCTGCTGCCTTACCTCCCTTTTTGTTTCTCTTGCATTTCTTGCTTCTATCCCTGAAGTGTTTAAGTCTTGGTTTCCTTTTACACTGCTTATCAAGTAGAGAAAATGACAGTTGTGTACAAACCCAGGTGATGGACCTCAGAAAGGGGACAAATGGAGATCATGAGGACTAGTTTGTAAGCAGTGGATAAATCAGGAGTGGATGCATTGTGACCCTCTGGATGCTGGATTCCAGCTCTCATAGCACCTCACAATTGGCTTCATTAGCTTTACAGCGGAGATAAGTCACTGATCCTGCAGTTGCTGTTGGTTTTTGCCAGCACTGATGCTAGTGAGAGGTGATGAGTGTCACAATCCACTCTCATCCAGAGAGCCACATGTGCTACCTGTTTCATACGCAATTCAAATATTTAATGTTTAGTAAGTCAAAAGTAGACTTGTCTACAACGCTTATCCCAATCTGTGACTTGGCAGGTTGCAGAAGACAACTGTCTCCACGTCCTTAACCAGAATTTTGTTTCTGGCTCTCTCATTCTAACTCATTTGTACCTGCCTGCAAGAGAGCCACATGTGCTACCTGTTTCATACTTAATTCAAATTCTTAATGTTTAGCAAGTCAAAAGTAGACTTGTCTACAATGCTTATCCCAATCTGAATTGGCAGGTTGCAGAAGATAACTGTCTCCATGCCCTTAACCAGAATTTTGCTTCTAGCTCTCCCATTCTAAATCATTTGTACTTGCCTGCGTTTGGTGGGTCTTTGAGGTTCTAATTTAAAAAGAAATACGATTGCACAAGCTTCCAGTTGCTCCCCTCTTGAATATAGTTCATATCCACTCTTTCGATCATTTGGAAAAATCCTACTGCTGTCCTGTTGAGAGAACTGGCTGTTTTCCTTTGTCTTGCATAGGCGGATGTATCTTGTTATACCTGAAGGATAGGAGAGTTATCCTAACCCTCTAAATCACAGCTGGGAAATCGCTGGTGCTCTGAGTGTTTTGGACTACCACTTCCACCATCCCTTGCCATTGGTCATGTCTGTTGAGGTTGATGGGAGTTGCAGATCAAAAGTCTTGGAGAGCCAAAGGTTGTCCATCCGTATTCCAAATGATCGGCATCTTGCCAATGCAGTTAATCCTATGCTGCTGTCAGTAGGACACATGGTATAACATCCAGCGCTGACAGCTGCTGAAGCAAGCACATCCATTTGCCATGTATCAGCAGAGATTAAGCCTCTTTACAAAGGCTCTGGAAGAAGAGAGATGGGAGCTCTGAATCACTGCTACTGCCTCTCTCTCAGCTGTTTGAGGGGTGGAAAGAATCAGGCGGCATGCTAGCCCTGGCCTGTGCCCCTAAGCATCAAGTACATTGTGTGCTGCTAAAATGTGCCTTTTATTTCTAATTATGTAGTCCTGGCTATGGAGAATGCTCTTTCAATGTTCATGATGGTGAAGACTCAGCCATCGGGGGAAAGAAAGAAAGACAGATAGACAGTCTCTCTCTCTTGTATTTGCAAGGCAGGAGAATGAGTTTCTGGTGTCAGGTGCATCAGCACATGCATGTGCACACACACAAACACACACAAAACAGGAATGAGTGTCTGGTGAATCAGACTTTTGTGCAACGTTCCAACCAGCTCACAGCACTGCCATTGTTCACCAATCTCTCCTTCGTCCTGTTAACTTTGGAACAAAGACCGTCCTGTTTCTGTTTTCTTCTCCACTGTTTTAAACACATTCAGATAACCTGGAAAGCAGCGACATGAATGCTCTGGCCAAAGCAGTGTTTGAATGTGTTTGCTTCTCCCCCTCCCAATGCAGTGTGTTTCTGATACATCGACAAGGGTGTCAAACTGAAATCGGACATCAGGACTACGAAAAAATTACCAAGGTGCGCTCTCTGCCTTGTGAATCAGTCTTGCCCTATTACAGTGGGAGTGTGGCTATCTGCCTCCAGTGTGGCTTATGCTGCATTGTAGATGATGGACTTTCATCCCCATGGCTATTCTACTGCCTGTCATTTGTGACCAAATTCCAACCATTGTTTTATAAGATCAAAGAGATAACCCTGACAACATACGTACAAGCCAGTTACCTGCTTTATGTAAGGAATGTGAAAAAAGCCCCACTTCCCTTTGAAATGAAGGTACTTCTAAGGTGTTCAAAGCATCATAATATAGCTGTCAATTCTTTCATGGGTGGAGAAAGCACATCTTGTGCAACGTGCCTGAGCCTGTAGAAGAGGAGCATGTCTAAATGCAGGCCCCCTTGCATTCTCCACTGAGCAAAATATGTAACTGCAGGAAGAATCTAGATTTTGCTGCAACCAAACATTTTTAAAAGTTCTGTATATTGTTCTGGTTTGAATCAATTTGCTTTTGAATTATGGGGATGGGGCCCAAGATGGGCAAAGGATTAAGACAGAGAGGCCCTCATCCTGCCCACTCCTTTGAGTTAGAGCAGTTACCAGGCATTTCTTGTCCAATCAAGAATAGCTTTACAAGAGGTAGCTGTGTTCATTTGTGCAAGGACAGTTTTGTCCAAGGGGCAAATATTTACTTTTGAAAGGGGGAACTGTGAGATGAAAGGAAATGGAATTCATCACAGGTACAATTCAGCAGTCATATACACAACCTGACTGATACCTTTTTCTCAACCTTGTTTACCGAATGCAGAATGTCTGGCATGACTGTTAGGCCATTGACATGTGTCTTACATTTGGTGAGTAAGAGCTGAATTCCGTTTGCTTATGAGAATAGAATTCAGCCACATTTTAATGAACGACATCAGTATTTGTCTTGTGCCAGACAGCTGTATCTGGCTAAGAAGAAAGACCAAGGCAGAATATTTTGAAACAAATTTATTGTAACCGCAGGATATTCCTTCCTGTCATTACTGTGGTGAGAGAGAAAGCAGAATCCGGCTAACATTTTCTTCCAAAACCTACCCTTTCCTAGCAGAAGCCTAATCCAGAGCGTCAGGAGGACAACGTTTGCTTTGAAAGCATGAGGAGGCTCTTTAGTCTGTTACTAGAATGCCAGCTTTGTATATGCAGAAATGCCAAGGTTTACCCCCTTGGCATTGCAGGATCAGGGAGCAGGTGATAACATAAAACTTGCTGGAGACCCCAGAGAGCTGCTGCCGGTCAGAGTACATCAAACTGGGCTAAATGGACAGAGAAATCTGACCTGGTACAAGAGCACCCCTCTATTTTCATTCTGTAAGCCAGCCAAAACAAAAAAAAATCTCTCAAGGGTTGCTATAAATTTCACCACGACATGGATTTAAAAATAAAATGCTGGCTGTCCTTTGCCCACCTGTGCTGTATGAAGGGTCGCATACACCTGTCTCTTCCTTGCATTCTCTTTCGGACCAGAGGCACGTTTTTAAAATGGGAGAAGTCTAGACATCACTCCCCCCTCCCTCCGCCTTCCCTTTCCCATCTAATTGCTGATTTAAAGGCATGATTTAGGTCACTTGCTGTCTGGCCACATGTTTGGTTATGTAACGCTGTCTGGCAGCATCTTCCAACTAGCTTCCCGTGAGGCACTGCTTCTGATGAATAAGGGTGGGAGGGAGTTCCTGGCACATGGAGTGGTACAACGCGCTCTCATGAAATGACGTGCTTTTCAATGCAGCACAGTTTGATCTCTCTTTTTTTGCATCCCTCCCATTTCCTTTTCCTGAACAGAGGAGAAACAAGGTGTGTTCTGGGCTTCAGAAACTCCCCCTTTGGGTGAGGGAGATCACTTAAAACCATACGCTTGCCTTCCTATATTTAGACCCTGTTTTAAATTCCCCATCTGTAACGTGGGGGCCAAACTAAGTTTTATTCTACACACGGTGTCTTCACTTCTCATCCTTGTCCTGCCCTCTCCTAGCAGGGGTGGACAAAGTGTGGCCCTTCAGGTGTTGCTGAGATTGCACCAGGTTTATGTTTCCCAAGGACAATGGGAACTGCAATCCCAACTATAGCTGGAGAATTCCAACTTGCCCTCTGGAAACATCTCTAGTGAGCAACGTCAGCAAATTCAGTCCAGTGGTATAGCCTACATTGAGGCCAACCTGGGGCCAATCTGAGTGTCCTGAATTCTGCCCATGGAAGGCTGATATTGCAAGTCAGCAACTTGCAAGAGGTGTGCATTACTTATTGCTTCTTAAAAAGATGCTACTTAGGCAGACCATCTGTCCTGGCCCAATAAAGTGGTTTCTGCCTGCAGTGAAATGTTATCAATACAGTTCAGTTTTTCATACTCTGCACTTAGAGGAACTGTCATTTTCCTTTCGGGCCAATCTATAGTCAATGAAGCCCATAGGCTCTTCCTCTTTCTTGTACGTTGGTTAGTCAAAGGAATAGCTTTCACATGGGTGTAACTACATTTTTCACACTGTGCATGTGAAAAGTTCTACTAAGTTCAACTCCCAACATTACTAGGCAGGCAGAAGTGGGAAAGATTAGATTCCTATCTCA